GGGGGCATAGCCTCCAGCCTCACAGTAACACACAAGCCACCACAGTATGACAAACTGACAGATGAGTGGTGGATATACGTATAAGTATATATTCAACTAGTTGTCATTGAGTGGACCCTGATTCACAGTGATCTCATGCATCAGAGAACTGTGCTCCATAGGATTTTCAATGACTGATAAAGAAGTAGATTACCAGGCCTTTCTTCTGAGGTGGCTCTGGGTGAACTTGAACCTCTAAATTTTGGTGAGCAGCTGAGAATGTTAACCATTTGCTCCACCCAGGGATTCCATGTACATACACATGTATGCATGTGATATATGTAAGTATATATATTTAATTTTCCAATAAGTGAAAATGCCAGGTAGGCAATCATCTTTCCCAAATTGTGTATCTTGGGGGGCACTCCAGGAAGCAGCAGTGTGACCAGATTCTTGCCAAGTACCTGACAAAAGGTGCAGTTTGAAATCATAGTTTCAGCTCCAAAGCACTGCACCTTTTCACAACTTTTAGTGAAAACTTATTTTTGCTTTGCTCTTCCCTTTTCCCTCTGGTACCACTGATTCACAGAAAATCTATGAAGACTGAGATCAAATCCAAAGTAGGCTTTAAGAATGATCCATCACTCTCCCCTCTGGCAACCAAGCTCTTGTTACTAGGCTGAGCTCATCTATCTGACTTTTTCCTTTCTCTCAGAAGGAGCTCTGGTGGCACAATGGTTAAGGCATTTGTCTGCTAACCAAAAGATCAGCAGTTCAAACCCACCAGCTGCTCCATGGGAGAAAGATTTACAGCCTTGGAAACCTTGGGGAGCAGTTCTACTCTGTCCTACAAAAACAAACGAACAAACAAAACTCACTGCCGTCAACTCGGATTCGACTCATAGTGACCCCTCCTTGGGTTTCCGAGGTGGTATCACTACAGAAGTAGATTGCCCAGTCTTTCCAATCTTCCCTTCCAAGGAGAGCCTGGTGGGTTTGAACCCCCAGCCTTCTGGTTAGCAGTCAAATGCCTTGCTACTAGAGCTCCTTTAAGGTCACTATAAATTGGAATCAACTAGATGGCAGAGGGTTTTAGTGGGTTGCCATGAGGTTGAATCTGCTCCAGGTGTATCCTAATCTCTCAAATATAAGCAGCCACCTGGTAGAACCACCTGACTTGGGTAGGGATGAATTGGGTAGGGATGAATTGGGTAGGGATGAAGCTTTCTAGGAAGAAGATTGGGGTGCCCAAGCCAGAGACAGACATAGGAGAGTTGGAGGAAATGGTTTTCTAGCCATCTTCTTTGGCCCAAAATAAAAAACCAGGTTCACTGCCATAAAGATTTACAGCCTTAGAAACCCAACGGAGTCACTATGAGTCAGAATTGACTTGATGACAGTGAGTTTTTTTTCCCCTTC